GCATAGTTTAAATATAAATTATTGAAATTATGTTTAAGGTTTAAATACTCTTTATAAAACTCTTTTTGGAAAAGAGATTTTAGTCATTAAAGAGAAGTGATGAAAACAGAAAAAAAAATAGAAGGAAAGAGTGTGTGAGTAAGAGAGTAAGGCTAAACTGTTATGTTTAATAAGATGTTAAATTTTTAACAATTCTTTAAATTTGACTGATATTGTTTTAATGATAACCAAAGAAATAGAGTAAAAATGTTAAAGTAGGAGTTAAGAGAGCATTTCATCCTCTTATAGTTTCCGTTTCTTGCGATTTCTTCAATAATGTAAACATTTGTTTTTTTTTGTAGTTTTTTTTTTTCAAATAAATATTTTTCTTTATTTTAGTATTTATTCAAAATAGTTATTTATTTAGTTTTTTATTTTGTTTTAAATATAAATGTGCATTTCAACAATTAGTTTTTGTATGATTTTCTTCAATAATTCGTTTTTTTAAGTGGCTGCATTTATTTAATTTTCTTTTACGAGATTTTTATGTCATTGAGTTTTGTTTAAGGATATAATTTTTCTAAAAAGCTTTAGCTTTATAATTTTTGTTTGTTAAATTAATTTAAACTTAGTTGGTAAATGATTTAAGCTTTTTGTTATTTAATTAAATATTCAACTAATTGCCACTTTATAAATTACACAACATTTAACAAAATTTTGTTTAAATAGTTTTTGTTTCTTTTGTTTATACTCAATTGAAATAAATGTTTGCGTTTTTTATATTTAGTATTTCGTTTTCTTGGAAAAAATAACAATAAAAAAATTAAGGCCAATTAATAAAACTAATAATAAAAAATGATATAATTTATTTGTGTAGTTTGGGGTTTTTTCTTTGTTTACAAATAATTTAAAGCCAATATAGTTTTTAGATCTAAAAGTCTAAAAATAACAAAAAATAATATTTTTTTTTTTATTTAAACTAAATTAAAATCTAAATACTACTAAGAAATAAAATATAATGTTAAAAAATATTGTATAATGTAATTCAAAAAATATATCAACTTTATGGGTTGTACTTAAAAAAATAATAATAATAATAAAAACAATATTTTCTTGTAAAAAAATGAAAATAATAAAAATGATCTTGTTTGCAGATTTTTATAAAATTTCATTTCATTAGAGAAAAAGAATGCGCTTAGTTTTTTTGTTTAATTAATTTAATTTAAGTTTTCTTTATCTGATAAAATTCATGTCTTTTTGAGCTTTTCTTTTGTTTTCTATGAAATAAGTACCAATTTTTTGAAAACAAAAGCTTCTTTCATAAAAATCAATACCAAATTAATACGCCATAAATTATCACTACTGTAAAGAGTATGACTCAGAAAAAGATATATAAAAGAAGAAGAAGAAGAAGAATTAACGAAAGAGAGAGATAGCTAGAGAATTTTATATAAATATTAACAGGAATTGAAAGAGAGTTCTTAGCATAATTACTCTATAAATTAGAAATTAAATTCGTTAAACATAACCGTTATTTTGCATGCCTTGCTCTCGCTCTCCTTGTTGAAGGAATAATTCCGAAGAGAGAGTAAGAGTTTTTAGAGGGTGAGAGTTTAAAAATGACAAATTAAATTCGTTAACTCTTTTTGTTTTCGTAATTGTTCAACTGTATTTTTGTAGGGATCTAAATGGCCACTTTATCTATTTATCCCTATTGTTTTTAATGTTTTAATGCGCGTAGGCTTAATTACAAAAAGGTACTAACTACAATTTTCGTTTAACATTTTAATAATTTACAATTTGTGTATGAATCTGTGAGTGTTTCACCTTTTCTTGTTATTGTTTGGAATTATCACGTAATTAAGCCGTTAATTTAATTGTTTATTGTTTTCGTGGTAGTATTTTGTATATTATTAATTATTATGTTATGTTTTCTTTTGTTTTGTTTTGTTTTGATTTTCAGGTACAGTTTAATTAAATCAAAAAATAAAATAAACTTTCAACTTTTAATCGGTTATTAATGTTTGTTCTTAATAAATAATTACTCACAAATTAATGATTTTTTTTCGTTTTCTTTTGTTTTTGCTTATGTAATGTTCAAAGAACTCTCTGTTCGTGTTGTCATCATTTTATCGTTAAAAGTAAGCGCATCTTTTTTTGACAAATTTTCTTAAACTTTTTTGTTTTTGTAATTTAGTATATTATTATCTTAATACCTTGTTTTTTGTATATTATAACTCAATTGCCTTTTAGCAGATCTACTGTTTTTTCTTGGGTACATTGTCCTCCCGACAGGCCACAGCTGCTACTAGGGCAGCGCCACGACCGGAACCATCTTCTGACAACATTAAATCGAAGGAGATGCCTGGTTTCACCAACTGTGAGATTTTCTCCACCATCAATTGATGGAACTTGGGATGGAAACGATAGACACTGCCGTCCACACCGACTGTCACCTGAGGTTCGTTCATTTTGTTGATGAGCGTGGCAATGCCACAGGAAACCAAATGGGCAGCTCTCTTGGAAACACATTCACAGATATAACGAACATTGGCACAATCTTCGTCGGTGGCGTCGTTGAGACCCAATTCCTCCAAGACCAAACGGCAATTGGTGAATACTCCGGGTTCGTCGGCCTCAATTTCCGATACGTATTTGGTAAAGAATTGGCCTCGGGTCATTAGAACGTCGGAATCTTGTCCTCTAAACAGAACACCAGCCTTGACCATTTTCACTATGACTAGACGCACCAGTTCACCCATATACATGCCAGAAATCATTTTCTCGAAGACTTGCTTGCCGGGGTTAATAGAATGACTGTCTACTTCTTCATCGAATTCGGTGCGCACAAAGTCGAGAGCACCGTTGTCGCCAAAGGCTCCCCATTCGGTGTTGATGAGGACATGTGATTTACCGTTTCCAGCTCCATCAAACATCTCGGCCTCTTCGACACGTTCTACGTAGCAGGCATTTGAACCAGTGCCCACGATGAGACCAATTTTGCAGTTGTGATTTTTCCACGCACATGACATCAAAGTGCCAGTGGTATCATTCAAAATAGCACACACATCAATTTGTACATCACCTCTTCTGGCAATGGCATCTTTCAGCAGTTGGACTACGTCCTCGTTGACCACACCAGCACAGTTGAAACCCTTAGTCCAGGTGACCAACAAACCCTTGGTGAGGCCCAGCTGTGTCAAGGGGAAGGAGAAAGTGAAGCCCAAAGGCAAACGCTCCTTGTAGACGTCATGCTCGTTCATGAAGTTGGCCAAACACTCGGCGATATGATCAAACAGTTGTGTGCCCGAGCCCAACATAATATGCTGGGGAATGGCGTAGATGCGAGACTCCATTTGGAAGTCATGATCCTCCTTCAGATGAATCAATAAGACTCGGAAATTTGTGCCACCAAGGTCAAGTGCCAAGAACTTGCCACGTTCGTTGCCATTGGGCAAATCTTGTACGTAGGTGACGAAACACTTGACATTCGCCTTCTGGTGAGTCTCCTTGGCCAAACCTTTTTTAACCTCATGGAGGATACGATAAGTTAGCTCGTTAATCTGCTCGTCCGTGAGTATCAATTGCTGACATAACTCGTGCACCATCTTGCGTTTTTCCGCGACACTTGCATTGGCATACGGTGCTGTCGTTGGTGGCGTATTTGTGGTTTTGTGGTTCAATATCGATGCAATATTGTCGCCCTCTGCCAAGACGGAGGCGGTCGACATGAACGATTGCATAGCAGCATCACCGGCCGCACCAGATCTGTCTGTTTCGTCCAACGATTTGCTGCAGTGGCAAGACAATGTCGTCTGCGATGAGCCATTGGTTTGTGAGAATTTCTGGCAATTCATACTGTTGTTGTTATTGTTCACGGTGCCATTGATGAGTGTCTGCTGGCAGCAGGAATGAACCGACGAGGGGGATGAGAGTGGTGATGTTGCGGTGGGGCAGGATGATGTCGACGTCTGTTTATTGCACACTAAATTGCTGCAACAGCCATTTGAAGATGTAGACGTTGTTGCCGTTTTCAAACAGCATTCTTTATTTATAGATGCATTTTGCATGGCCACATTTAAATCTTTATCCATTTTGTTTCTTAATTTATTTCTATTTGCGATTTTTCTTTAGATTTTTATTTTTTTGTTTCTTTTTGCTTTAAGTTTGTGTTTTTGTTTTATTTGAATAGTTGTTTTTTGTTTAAACTTATTATTTGCTTTGTCTCGCACAGCACAGCACAATTCAAATTGTTGCCGTTTTTTCCGCTTTCAAATTTGGTATCGACCGTTTCGTTTAAATGCTTACAACGGAATCAATTCCACACAAACTCTGTTTAAGGTTTCTTGCTGCGTTTTCGTGTATTGCTCTGTATAGATCTCTCGACGACGACCAGACCACTTTAACCAGTCCACACTCGTAGCAGTAGTTAATAATCAATCGGCTTTTAAAATGGAAAAATATACTTTATTTATTTAATTGTTTTTTTTTTTTCTCCAAAAAAACGTTTTCTGTACGTTGCTCAGTTGAGTTGTTGTAGCCGTTGTAGTTGTTTGGTGTATGACGACTGCTCGGGTTCAGAGCTTCTGTATGACTTGACTTTGTTGTACTTTTGAAGGAACCTTGAAGGTCAAAATTGACAATTTATTAGTAAAATACTGGAAAGTTGTTTTTTATTTCTTTCTGTTTCGTTATATTATATGGAAATGAAATAATGAATATGTTTGTATGAGTATGTCTGTGAATAAGTATAAGTATAGAGGAGAGTAGTAGTATAGAGTAAATATTAAGTATACGCTATATGGTTATGAATTTTACAAGAGAGCTTTTTACACAAGATGTAACAGGGAGAGGAAGACAAGTGATTTACACTAGCTAGTATGAGATGGAATAGAATTGTGTTGCCAGTAGTTTTTTTGTAAGGATTTTGAAAAAAGGATATATTTGTTAATGAAGTTTCATTTATGGCAAATAAAGAGACAATTTTAATACAAATATGTAATTTTTTACTTTTCTTCTAGGAATTATTTAGATTAACAGTAAACTTTACATTTACCGTTAAAATTCAAAATTTAAGTGGCATCACTACTAAATGACATACGTACTCTCTCAGTCTTTTTATATAAATTGATTCCAATATCGGACTAAACAAATTTCATTTTACACTGGAAACTTACACGTTTGCCTGAACGTACTGGTGAGTACTCATGTATATATTTTTTTTAACGAGTACATATTTTGTATGTACGTCTTACGGCATGAATGTATGTATATATTTCCAGACTTTAATTATAATAAAAATAGATGTGGATGGTTGTAAAATGTGTGTGCATGTGGTGTTTGTAACAGTTTATAGGAATTTATTATATATTTGTATATACTAACCTGCCTTCTATTTATTTATAAATCGTATGACTGTATAACAGTTTGCGGTTGTATTTATGAATTGAGTTTTTCAGTTGTTTTTGTAGCTGGAATGTATTCTACGAATATTTTTCTGGTTTTTCCTTTCTTAGATGATGTTTTGTTGTTCTCTTTTAAAAAGGGGGGTGTGTTGCAATTTTTATATACAAACACACTGACACGTATTAAAGTTGTTTGAATAATGAAAAACGGGGCTCGTCTCTTATTATTTTTATTTTTTTATGTATTAGACTAAGTAATATCACTACTATTTCAATAATAATAAATATTGCATTCACAAAACTATTGTATTGTATTAATTGTTCCACTATCTTACACGAGACTAAATTTAGGTGTATGATAGATAAAAATCAAATTCACTAGTTTTTTATGAGGGGTTTGTTGTACGTGCTTTAACTCACACTTTTTAGTTCTTTTAAAGTTTTTTTTTTTTGATATTCTTTTACCGTTTTGGCAGTATTTTTTCTTTCTATTGTAGGGAATTTTATCTTTTTTTTTAAACTTGTTTTCTGCAAAGCTTATTTAGTTATTCTGCTGTGTACACGTCTACTTAGTTGAATGTACCGCTTTGAACTGAAATGAAAATTAATAAAATTTAAATTTTATTATAAATTATTTGTTTATTTATTGTTTTGTATGGTATATAGACATTATTTGTGTTTTTTTCTTATTGCAAATGCATTATTTCTCTATTTCATGGAGGTATGGTTGATTTTTGTTTTGTCTACAAGGGGCCAATCAGGGGGTGTGTAGTTTTACTATAAAAGTCATGCCATATTTATGGAAATAGACAGACAATCGTTTTTTTTTTGTATTTTTTGCTATTTTCAATCGTTTTGTTTTATGTTATTAACAATTGCATTAATAATTCTTGGAAATTTTAAAATGGGTGTTGTGTTTTTATTTAAATTGTAATTTTTTTTTTTATAAATTTAAACTTTTTCTAGTAATTTAGTAAAGAAAAATAAAACACTCTTACTTTCCTGCTACTTTAAACAAATATCTTTTTGAAGATGTCATATTCTACGAATAAAGGGAATAAAGGAAAAAGAGTAGGATGTTTGCTATTTTTACACCGTAAGAAATTGTAAGGAATATTCTGCGAAACTAGTTCTATGGAAACATTAGAGAACAAATTCACTTTCTTAGGAACAGTTATAGAACTAGTTCCTTTTTTACAAACATATTTATTTGAAATTGTAAAGGAACTAATAATCTTTAGATGTAATTTAGAATCAATTTGTTGCAAAATCTATAACGGTTTTATTAGCAACCTTTCTTAGACGAAAATCTAAATTTTCTTCACATGAACTATTTGTTATGAAATATAAACAAATGTTTTTATATAAATGTTGATGTTGTTTTAAATGTTTTTATATAAATGTTGATCGATAGCAATAAGTTTTTTTCAAAATTGTTTTTCAGCCAAAAAAGTTAAAAAAAACATATTTATTGCAAATTATAAAAATTTTCTCGAATTTGCTTAAAATGTTTGCCAGATTTTTCTTTAAAATATTTTTTAGTTAAAAAAAACAATTGTTTTTAATATTTTTGAAAACAAAACCATTCACATTCAAAAAAATTGTTTTTAACATAAAACAATTTTCAAAAATATTGTTTGCAAAACAAAACAAATATCTAAATTTAAAATTTCCTTGGAAGTCTGTATATACTATTCTAAAAGATCACTTGATCACTTATATGTACATATACACATATTTGTTTTTTCACGGGGCATTGACAGACAGACCTTTAAATTGTTTTGCCATATTTTTTTTGCTAAAAAAAATTATTTGTTCAAACATCATAAATTATGTCATATTTATTTATATTTTATAGCCAAAAAATTTGACACAAATTACTTTTAAATCTTTATTATTTTGTTTTAATTATCAAGTAATTAATGAATGAAATTTCTTTATAATTTTGTTTAAAAATTAATAATCTAACTGTTTTATTTAATTTTTTTTTACTTGTTATTTTTTATTCTTTCTTTATATTTTAATTAATTGAAATATTTTTATCAAGATACTACTGTCGTGTGCTTTTAATCATTTTTTTAATATTCAAACCATTAAAAGTTCATTGAAACTTATTGAACTTTAGAATTTAATTTAATTAAGTAATTTAAATTTATATGCAAAAAAATAATAACAAAATAAAAATAACTCAAGTCAACGGCAAAGTATTATATAGAAATTACTTTAAATACAAAGCAATTTGTTATTTAAAAAGAAAAAAATTAATAAAAAGGTTAGAAATTTATTAGATTTTTGTATTTTATATAAAACTTTAATTATAATTTCAACAAGTGTTTAAAACTGTTTGAAGGAGTTGTTCTTCCAGGACTTTGGCGCGCATTTCTTTCTCTTTTATTTTTAGAATTTCGTTAAAACTATTTATAGTTTAACAAAACTTAAAAAAAGTATTTTGAAATAAATTACATTTTATTGCAAATTCTTATTCAATTCTTGAAACCTTTTACTAACTTTAATTTTCACTTTAGTTTTTCTTTAAGTGTATAACTGTAATTCTCTGATAAACATTTGGAAGGAAAGTTGTTGTTTAAAAGTTGACACATTGGAAAAGTTCTGTAAATACTTTTTAGCATTCTTCTTTTAAAAATTGTAAATATAATTAAATTTTTTAATTAAAATCTATTAATAATTTCTTTTTTCAGCACATTTTGGTAATTTCTTATCAAACAAAACTTAAACAAACAATTGTAGATTTTTTCATATAAATTTATTTCTTATCAACAAAAAATAAATTAGTTTCTTAAACGGAAATTGTTAAGACAACAAAATGTAATAAATTAAAAAAAAAAAAAAAACATTAAAATTTTTAAAAGCTACACACTACCAAATGCCGGTTGGTTTCCTTAAGTACACAACACTTTAAACAACAACAACAAAAAGCAATGAATCATGATGGATCTCGTGTCTCAAATTTAAACATTATCTGATAATTTTGAAATTATAAAAAAACAGCAGACTACAGCAGCAACAAAAAAAAAAATTAATCAGGCACGTGTATTAAATATTTGCATTAAATTCCACTCAATATTTATTTAAATTTAAAAACATTTGTTTTGAAACATGTTTTTTTTTTGTGAAAAATTTGCATTAACAACTCTATAAAACTATGTCGCGTCAATCTGAACCAACAATTTAATATAATTTCACCAGTTAAACACTTGATTGCAATCGAATGAAAAAAACTGCACTTGCAATTATTTATTAAAGATAAAATTTAAACAACACAAAATAATCTAAAAAGAGTAACAACACATTACTCACTTTTGTTTTTTCTTGTTTTTGTATAAATTTGCACTCAAAATGATTTGTTTGTTGTTCTTGTAATAATTTTAATTTAAATTCAACACAAATTTTCTTATTTAGTTCAATACTAAAGTTTTGTATTTTTACACAAAAAATTTAAATTTTATAATTTTAATTTATTTTGTATCTCTTCTCTTGTGTTTTTAACACTTCCACTATTTGCGTATGAATGTTGCTGAACACGAAACAAACATCACATTTAAGAAAAGACCTCGACTCTACCAACACCAACACATGCTCCTCTCCTATGTAAACATTTTTCGAATGTGTGTTTTTTTCCAACACACACATTTTTTTAAGAAATACTAAATGTAGGCCCCCACTTCGCCTCTCCTGCATTTAATTTTGTTGCTTTGTTTGTACTTTGACTATCGAGTGAGTGAGTGTTTCGTCATACAAACTCATTTAAAAATTCCAGCAACAAAAACATTAAGGTGCTGATGATGGTGGTGGTGATAATGTTTGTTGGTGTGACATTTATTTGATTTTTACTCTCTGTAAACAAATACACACCTCTTTTACTCTTTAGGTTTAATTTTTCTATATATGGAATGTGTGATAGATATAAAGAGTGGAATACGTTGCCATATACAAATGATTTATTTACCCCAAAAACGTGAGGGGAGTAAGATTTATTTTTGTCTTGAAACGCATATAAAGAATATACAAACATATGTATAAACTTTGTATTGATGTTTGCATAGAAATATTGGTTGAACGGTTGATGAAAAAGGATAGATAGATAGATAGATAGATAGATAGATAGATAGATAGATAGATAGATAGATAGATAGATAGATAGATAGATAGATAGATAGATAGATAGATAGATAGATAGATAGATAGATAGATAGATAGATAGATAGATAGATAGATAGATAGATAGATAGATAGATAGATAGATATATAGATAGATAGATAAATAGATAGATAGATAGATAGATAGATAGATAGATAGATAGATAGATAGATAGATAGATAGATAGATAGATAGATAGATAGATAGATAGATAGATAGATAGATAGATAGATAGATAGATTGATTGATTGATTGATTGATTGATTGATTGATTGATTGATTGATTGATAGATAGATAGATAGATAGATAGATAGATAGATAGATAGATAGATAGATAGATAGATAGATAGATAGATAGATAGATAGATAGATAGATAGATAGATAGATAGATAGATAGATAGATAGATAGATAGATAGATAGATAGATAGATAGATAGATAGATAGATAGATAGATAGATAGATAGATAGATAGATAGATAGATAGATAGATAGATAGATAGATAGATAGATAGATAGATAGATAGATAGATAGATAGATAGATAGATAGATAGATAGATAGATAGATAGATAGATAGATAGATATATAGATAGATAATAGATAGATAGATAGATAGATAGATAGATAGATAGATAGATAGATAGATAGATAGATAGATAGATAGATAGATAGATATATAGATAGATAAATAGATAGATAGATAGATAGATAGATAGATAGATAGATAGATAGATAGATAGATAGATAGATAGATAGATAGATAGATAGATA